CTTCTGAGAAGTGCACTGAATCCAAACGCCTGATTTCACGGGGAAGGAAGGAAAAGCAGGGACATGAGACGTTGAAATGCACCCCCCAGGACAGCAGGGGCACTTTTCTTAGTGACTTTAGGGATGGGGTTAGGTGGGAAGGCAGGGGATGGTCAAAATGAACATCTGCCAAAGCCCCAAAGCAGTTTCTCCAACCCAGAATGCCCTGACCGCCAGTAAGGGGGAGTTTCCCAACTGTCCTGGGATGAGTTTTCTAGGGGGCCTGACCCTGATTCGAGGTTGACTAAAGCATACAGCGCCCTTGCACTGGAGATTGCTTCTGAGGGACTCGAACCTCAGCCTTGCAAAACAGCAACACTTGAGTGAACTGAGCTGGGGACCAAGGAAATGTGAGTCAGCCCAAGAATTTCTTTTAGAGACCAAATGAAGGAGGCCACAGCTGCTGGACTGGGAAACAGAATTTGCATGAGCCTGGGGCTGGGCCCTGCACCCCCTCCCCAGATGTCCTCAGGGATCTGTGAGCAGAGAGGCCTGGCTGCAAAGGGTCTAGAGGACAGCCCCTCTGCTAAGGTGTCTGCTGCCAGGGCAGAGGGCTTGGGGAAGCTGGAGGAGGCTGGGCTCCAGGAGGGGTGGCCTGGTCCCTGCCTGCCTGCTTGCCTCACTCTTTGGGCCTCGAGCTCGTGTGACACATGACTCCTCTCTCTGCCCGGAGTGATCCAAGCCCTGCCATTTCCTGACTTTGCCCACACTGTACCCTCTGCCTGGGGTAACTACGTGTCTGCCCTTTGTCCCTTATGTCTCAGCCCAGTACAAGCCACTGCCTCCAGATTTCATCTGGTCTCACCAGGCTACACCCTCTCATCAAATCAGATTCCCTCCCTTCTGGACAGGTTTACAACAAAACCCTCCTTAGAGGCAGGGTGCGGTGGCTCCCACCTGTAATCTCAGCACCTTGAGAGGCTGAGGTGGGAGGATCACTTGAAGCAAGGGGTTCGAGACCAGCCTGGGTAAAATAAGGAGGCTCTTGTCTCTGTAACAAATTTAAAAATTAGCTCACCAGGCCGGGTCTTGTGGCTCATGCCTGTAATCCCAGCATTTTGGGAGGCCAAGGAGGGCAGATCATGAGATCAAGAGACGGAGGCCAGCCTAGTCAACATGGGGAAAACCTGTCTCTACTAAAAATATTAAAATTAGCCAGACATGGTGGCATGCACCTGTAATCCCAGCTACTGGGGAGGCTGCGGCAGGAGAATTGCTTGAACCCAGAAGGTGGAGGTTGCAGTCACCCGAGATTGCTCCACTGCACTCCAGCCTGGTGACAGAGCAAGACTCCGTCTAAAAATTAAATAAATAAGTGAATAAATAAGAAAAGAAACAAACAAACAACAACAACAACAAAAACCTCTGTGCCAATCACAGCCTTCAAGCTAGGGGAGAGGCGGCTGTATTCTGCCCTCTGCTAACTAACTATAGCTTTGTGGAAATGGGTTAGTGGCTGTGCCCTTCTGAGCTTCAGGGCCCTACCTGTAAAATGGGCATAACTGTCATGCCCATCTTTAAGAACAGCCCTGGGGGTAAGTGAGGGGAAGTCATGGGAAGATCTCTGCCCACAACCTTGGACAGAACAAGCGCTTGTCACACAGTAGCCAGAGTGCAGAGGCTGCAGGCATGAATCCAGCCAGACTGCCCGGGTTCAAATCCCAGCTCCCACGTCTTGCTAACTCTGTGGCCCCAGACAAGTTACTTACTTAATATTTCTTTCTTTCTTTCTTTTTTTTCCCGCAAGTCTTGCTCTGTCACCCAGGCTGCAGTGCAGTGACGCAAACTCAGCTCACGGCAACCTCCACTTCTCTGGTCCAAGCAGTTCTCCTGCCTCAGCCTTCCGAGTAGCAGGGATTACAGGTGCCCGCCACCATGCCTGACTAATTTTTGTATTTTTACTAGAGATGAAGGTTTCACCATGTTGGCCAGTCTGGTGTCGAACTCCTGACCTCATGATCTGACCACCTCGACCTCCCAAAGTGCTGAGATTACAGGCATGAGCCACTCCACCTGGCCAAGTTACTTAATATTTCTGTGCCTTGGTTTCTTCATCTGTGAAATGGAATTGTTATGAGAACTCAAAGGGATTCCCAGGGCAGTTTTTAGCGCATAATTAGTCTGGTTGTGTGTGTGTGTGTTTAATATAGAGACAGGGTCTCACTATGTTGATCCTCCTGCCTTGATGTCCCAAAGTGGTGGGATTACAGTTGTGAGTCATCACACCTGGTCACTTTACACTATTATTATTATTTTAAGACACCGTCTCCCACTGTCACCCAGGCTGGAATACAGTGGTGCAATCTCAGCTCACTGTAAACTCCACCTCCAAGGTTCAAGCAATTCTCCTACCTCAGTCTCCCGAGTAGCTGGAATTACAGGCATCTACCACCACATGAGGCTAAGTTTCGCATTTTTAGTAGAGATGGGGTTTCACCATGTTGGTCAGGCTGGTCTCAAATTCCTGACCTCAAGTGTATCTGCCTGCCTCAGCCTTCCAAAGTGCTGGGATTGCAGGAGTGAGCCACGGCTTCTGGCCAATTTTTTAAGGCAACATAATCAGCCCATGGCCAGGGTAAAGAACTGCTGGTACCAAGATCTGGCCCATTGGCCATGTGATCCAAGAGGCCTCTGCCTGCATGCAAAGTAGTACCGCATGCTGGGATCTCCCTGGTCCAACCCCCAGCTTCAGTTTTGGGTATTTCTCATAAGCCTTGACTACCCCCAGAGCGTGGGGGACTTTGTAGCCTGGGCCAAGGCATGCACTCACCAGTCAATGGCATTGCAGGGCTGGCCGTGGCCTCCCAGGCCACAGTAGCAACCATATTTCATATAGGCCAGGGGGTTTGGGAGCCAACACAACCCACAGTTCCTGCCAGTTCCAGGATCCTACACCAGTGCACATGTGACTTCCTGGAGGCTGGGGGGTAAACAAAGTGAGAGGCTGCAGGTCAGGGCTTCCCAGATCCCTAGGAAGGGTATTAGCCTGAGAAGAGCCTAGATGTTACAGCCTGACTGTCTGGGTGTGAATCCTACTTCCTACCTGTGTGATCTTGGACAAATTCCTAACCTTTCTGGGCCTTGGTTTCCTCGTCTGTGAAATGGAGGGTAAGCTGTCTTCAACTCATAGAATCAAATGAGATAATGAGCCAGGCGCAGTGGCATATGCCTGTAATCCAAGCACTTTGGGAGGCCGAGGTGGGTGGATCACCTGAGGTCAGGAGTTCGAGAGCAGCCTGGCCAACATGATGAAACCCCATCTCTACTAAAAATACAACAAATTAGCTGGGTGTGATGGCCGGTACCTGTAATCCCAGCTACTCAGGAGGCTGAGACAGGAGAATCGCTTGAACCCGGGAGGTGGAGGTTGCAGTGAGTCGAGATAGTGCTATTGGACTCCAGCCTGGACTATAAGAGTGAAACTCCATCTTGAAAAAAAGAAAAAAGAAATGAGATAATAAGTATAAAACCCCAGGACTTCTCCTCGGAGTAAGGGAGCAAAAGGCACTTCTTTGATGTTATTCCCCCAGCCCTTCCCCTGCTCACCTGGGCACCCAAAGGGAGCAGAAGACTTGAAGGAGGGGTAGTCCTGAATTTACTTCAACATTTTATTTGGCCACGTGCGGTGAATCACACATCCCAGCACTTTAAGAGGCTGAGGCAGGTTGGATCACCTGAGGTCGAGAGTTTGACACCAGCCTGACCAACATGGAGAAACCACGTCTCTACTAAAAATACAAAATTAGGCTGGGTGTGGTGACTCACCCCTGTAATCCCAGCACTTTGGGAGGCCAAGGCAGGTGGATCACCTGAGATTGGGAGTTCAAGATCAGCCTGGCCGACATGGTGAAACCCTGTATCTACTAAAAATACAAAAATTAGCTGGGTGTGGTGGCATGGGCATGGAATCCCAGCAGCTTGGTAGGCTGAGGTAGGAGAATCGCTTGAACGTGGGAGGCCAAGGTTTTGGTGAGCTTCGATTGTGCCACTGCACTCCAGCCTGGGCAACACAGAGAGACTCCATCTCAAAAAAAAAAATTAGCTGGGAATGGTGGCATAGGCCTGTAATCCCAGCTACTCGGGAGGCTGAGGCAGAGGAATCGCTTGAATCCGGGAGGCGGAGGTTGCAGTGAGTCAATAAGAGGGAAACTCCATCTCAAAAAAAAAAATAGGCCAGGCGCCATGGCTCACGCCTGTAATCCTAGCACTTTGGGAGGCTGAGGTGGGTGGATCACCTGAGGTTGGGAGTTCAAGACCAACCTGACCAACATGGAGAAACCCTGTCTCTACTAAAACTACAAAATTAGCTGGGCATAGTGGCACATGCCTGTAATCCAGCTACTTGGGAGGCTGAGGCAGGACAATCACTTGAACCCAGGAGGCGGAGTTTGCAGTGAGCAGAGATCACACCACCGCACTCCAGCACCTCGACTCACTTCAACCTCCAACTCCCAGGTCCAAGCAATTCTCCTGCCTCAACCTCCCAAGTAGCTGAAACTATAGCCACATGCCACCATGCCCGGCTAATTTTGTGTTGTTAGTAGAGACGAGGTTTCTCCATGTTGGTCAGGCTGGTCTTAAACTCCTGACCTCAGGTGATCCACTCGACTCAGCCTCCCAAAGTGCTGGGATTACAGGCATGAGTCACAACTCCCTGCCTAAATTTTGCAGGATAATAAATAGCCTTTTGAAGTACCGCTGGGCACCTGCCTGGTTGTTTTTCTTTAAGTTAACATGCCAGCAATGATTTGTTTTGACTTTCTGACCAAGATAGCGGTTTTTATCCAAATAAGTCAACTACTTTACCCCATCCCTAAGCCACTTGTATGGAAGGAAAAAGCTAGTTACTGTGACTGCCTACACTTCCCCCAGCATGGCCCCGTGTGAGATGTGGGGCAACCAAGAACCGGGAACTGTTCAAGGTCGCCAGGCCCCATCTGTCTGTGCTCACTCACCTTCCTCAGGTACTCGAATGGGGGATGGCACTGACTTTACGTGCTGCTGCAGCTCCTTGGTGAGCTTGCCCTGGTCATGGGACAGGAACTGTGGGGTCAGGACAATAAAGGGCTTCACCACCTGCAGAATGGGAACAGAAGCTCATGATCAGTGCCAATCTATTAGATAATTAAAATTTTTTAAAAAGTTTGTTGAATGAGTGGAAAAACAAGGTGATGCTTGCGTCTACAGTGGTCAAGAGCATGGGGGCCTCAGAAAAGGTCAGAACCAAGTTCAAATTCCTGTACTTTGAATTTCTACTTCATGCCATGCAAAATTGCTTTACCCCTCTTCACCTCAGTTTCCTTCTGTGTGAAATGGAAAAAATTTCATTCCTCATTCAGTTTCTGTCAAGGATTCTAAAACACCCAACTCACTTAAATGTATCATCATTTCTGTCATAACTAGTGGGATCAATTTCACTATTATTGAATATACAGTTCTGTGCCTGAAACCTACAAAAAAGAAAATCTTACAACTAAAAAGTGTCAACGATTTGTCATTGTCATATTATTAATCATAACCATATTTAATTACACAAGGCCTTGTTCATCACAGGTGCTCAATAAACACTTGTTCAATCAATGCATGTGGGCTCTGCAGCCACACTGTTTAGGTCCTATTCGGCCTCCACCATTTAATTAACTGAGTGATGTGGGCAAGATAATTCATATCTTTATGTCTCCGTTTCCTTCTCTATAAAAGATATATGATAAGAATCCCTAGCTCCTTAGGTTTGTCGTCAGGGGTGAGTGATTTGGCAAATAGTAGGGACTTGTTAAACTTCAGCTGTCATGAACTCCTTCCAAATCTTCCTTTTCAGAGCCACAGACGAGGTCAGAGTGCCACCTGGTGACGCTAGAGTGTAAGTACACATGATCACCAATATGCTCCCTCTCCACCATAGGTCCAAGACTGGGTAGTTACCTCCCAGAGGTTTCTGCTGCATCTGCCTTCTCAGTGCTCATGTAAAGACTTTTGTATTTTCCTCCTCAAATTTCCGCAGATGGGGTTCAGGTTACCTGACACAGCTGGGTGATCCACACAGGGCAGTGACCACTTGTGCCAGCCCTGTGACATTGCTGGAGGACCATTGTTCCTTCCTTCTCATGTTCTGGGCACATGCCAGGGCTGGGGTGACCCACGCCCTCAAGTTTCTTGCTTTGGAGGGTCACATTTTCTGTTGGCAAGGAAGGCAAAAGTCACAGGAAGCCAGAGACCTGTGACCTCTCTGTGCCGTGGGTTCAAAATATAAAGACCTGAATACTCTATGCTAAAAGCCCAAGGCTTGGGTGCTCCCCAGGGCTTCTCGCTTCATGGCTTCTGCTGAGGGAGGATGAATACTATGTCTTCCCAGAGCTTTGGGAGCTTGTAGCAAGCAGCCTCCCCAGCACAAAATCTCTTAGAAACCTCGAACTGTGTCTAAAACATTCCTGCACATTTTGCATCCTATTTCCCATATGTCAGCATGTTTTAGTCAAGTTCCTAGATATGCAAGAGAAATGGATATTGTAGAACAATGTGACTTTTAAAAACATGTTATTTAGGCCAGGAATGGTGGCTCATGCCTGTAATCTCAGCACTTTGGGAGGCTGAGGTGGGCAGATCACCTGAGGTCAGGAGTTAAGAGACCAGCCTGACCAACAAGGAGAAACCTCATCTCTACTAAAAATACAAAATTGGCTGGGTGTGGTGGTGCATCCCTGTAATTCCGGCTACTCAAGAAACTGAGGCAGGAGAATCACTTAAACCTGGGAGGTGGAGGTTGCGGTGAGCCGAGATCATGCCATTGCACTCCAGCCTGGGCAACAAGAGCAAAACTCCATTTCAAAAATCAAACAAACAAAAAAACTGAGTCTCGGAATGATGAAGCACTTTGTCCAATGTGACTCAGCTAGTAAGTGTCGAGACTTTGCATCCTGTCAAAGCCCATCTTATTCTAAAGGCCATGCTTTGTGTTCTCTGGCCCATGGAGAATAATTTTAACATAATCAATGAAATTTTTACACAACAATGTTCTTGTCTCAAGTCCAAGAGTGCCTCCTATACTTTCTATAACACTGGCTTTCTGGTCACTACAGATGTCATTCTAATATGTAATCATGTGGCCAATGGAAATATGACCAATGTCATCATGTGTGTACACCCATAACCCTGTACACACTCTTCCTTTGTCTGATGAAATTCAAGTACCCTTTTTGATTATTTAGCAAAACTTAGCTTTAAAAGGGTTAAGGTTTCGCCGGGCACGGTGGCTCACGCCCATAATCCCAGCACTTTGGGAGGCTGAGGTGGGTGGAACACAAGATCAAGAGATCAAGACCATTCTGGCCAACATAGTGAAACCCCATCTCTACTAGAAATATAAAAATTAGCTGGGCATGATGGCACGTGCCTGTGGTCCTAACTACTCAGGAGGCTGAGGAAGGAGAATTGCTTGAACCAGGGATGCAGACGTTGCAGTGAGCTGAGGTCATGCCACTGTACTCCAGCCTGGTGAAAGAGCAAGACTCTGTACACATACATAAAGGGTTAAGCTTTTTAAATCCATGGAATTTTCTGTATTGCTTTTGAAGTCTCTGGTTAAATGAATATTCTTCTAATAGTGACCTGTGATTTTGTTTTGATCAAGTGTTTTCAAACTTGACATCTTTGATGGGTTTCTCCAGCATCAAAATCCTAAATCAAGTCTTTTTGGCTTAAAATTAACCTTGGGATTTTTCAGCTGGGTCCTTTAGGGAATCTAAAGAATGTGTCTCTCATCTTGTAAAGATATTAAATGATTCAATTTAGTTGGTAGATTGTATGGGTGGGCACTGTCAAATGTGGTGATGCTGCGTGGGAGGGCATTGTCAAATGAGGTAACATTAGATACATTTATGACATCAGTTATATTTATGGGTATGTTGTTGATATGCATGTTCCAAAAATTATATACCTTTATACAAATTGAATATGTTATGATTTGTAATTTTGATTGTTATGCTAAATATTTGCTAAAGTTATATTTGTATAAACATGTTATTGATGTCTGGGCACGGTCACTCACACCTGTAATCCCAGCATGTGGGGAGATGAAGACAGGTGGATCAACTGAGATCAGGAGTTCAAGACCAGCCTGACCAACATGGTGAAACCTCATCTCTACCAACAATACAAAAATTAGCCAGCTGTGGTGTCAGGCACCTGTAATCCCAGCTACTCAGGAAGCTGAAACAGGAGAATCCCAAGAGGCGGAGGTAGCAGTGGTCTGAGATCACACCCATTGTACTCCAGAATGGGCAACAAGAGTTGAAACTCCATCACAAAAAGAAAAAAGTATAAAAATTAGCCTGGCATGGTGGCATATGCCTGCAGTCCCAGCTACTTGGGAGACTGAGACAGGAGAATTTCTTGAACCCAGGAGGTAGAGGTTACAGTGAGCTGAGACGATATCATTGCACTCCAGCCTGGACAACAGAGCAAGACTCCATCTCAAAAAAGAACAACAAAAAAAGTTATTAATGTATTCAGAGGATTATATGAAATTTATAAAAATCTGGTGGTCCTGATGTGATCCTGTCAGTCAGGATTCCGGTTACTCTCTAAAAATGCTGCACATAAGACTACTAACTAAATTTCCTGGTGGATTGGAAACATTCAGCAGATTTTCATTATAACTATTGATTCCATCATCCACATTTACTGTTTTGAATTCTTCTCTAAAAATATCTGTAATCAGCAACAGTCCAAATTCAAATTTTCTTTCTTTTTTTTTTTAAGATGGAATCTCGCTCTGTCACCTATGCTGGAGTGCAGCGGAGCCATCCATCTCTGCTCACTGCAACCTCTGTCTCCTGAGTTCAAGCGATTTTCCTGCCTCAGCCTCCCAAGTAGCTGAGACTATAGGCACCCCCCACCACCAGCTAATTGGTGGCAGTCGAGACAGGGTTTCACCATGTTGGCCAAGCTGGTCTCCAATTCCTGACCTCATGATCCACGGTCCACCTCGGCCTCCCTAAGTGCTGGGATTACAGCCATGAGCTACCATGCCTGGCCCCCAAATTTGCTTTTCATGGAAAAAACTCTACCAAGTCCTCTTGAACACAGGTTTCTGATAACTCACAACAATGAACTACCCAGGCTTCACCACTATGTGATATAGTCATGTCAGAAACTCACACATACACCCCCTCAATACATTGAAAATAAAATTAAAAAAAAAAAATCAAAGGCCAGGGTCCAGTGGCTCACGCCTGTAATCCCAGCACTTTGGGAGGCCAAGGTGGGCGGATCACTTGTGGTCAGGAGTTCGAGACAAGCCTGGCCTACACGGTGAAAACTTGTCTCTACTAAAAATACAAAAATTAGCCAGGCATGGTGTTGCATGCCTGTAATCCCAGCTACTAGGGAGGTGGAGGCATGAGAGTTGCTTGAACCTGGAAGCCAGAGATTGCAGTGAGCCAAAATTGTGCCACTGCACTCCAGCCTGGGCGACAAAATGAGACACTATCTCAAAAATAAAAACAAAAATCAATAAACTAAAAAACAATTTCTAGAACTCTAATAAGGAAACAATAGTTCAAAAAACTGCTAAGCAAGATGAAGCAAAACAAAAGAATCCATAAAATTAAGATAATGCCTTTATAATTTGTAGTTAAAACATTGTTGATTTATTCTCTTTTTTTGAGACGGAGTCTCACTCCGTCGCCCAGGCTGGAGTGCAGTGGTGCGATCTCGGCTCACTGCAACCTTCACCTCCTGAGTTCAAGCGACTTTCCTGTCTCAGCCTTCCAAGTAGCTGGGACTGCAGGCGCTCGCCACCACGCCCAGCTAATTTTTGTATTTTTAGTAGAGATGGGTTTCACCTTGTTGGCCAGGCTGGTTACAAGCTCCTGATTTCAGGTGATCCCCAACCCTCCCTCCCCACGCCTGGGACTACCATAGTGTTGGGATCACAGGCGTGAGCCACTGCGCCTGACCCTTTACTTGTTTTGTTTTCTAGATTTAAGAAACTTTTTTTCATAAGTTATCTATAATTTACACCGATTTGGTAAAGCGCACTTTTGTGAACAGAGGTGGGTGGAAGCGTTTGTTTTTTTCTCCTTACTTGATCCCTCCAAAGTTTGGAACCTATTCATAAATATTCTTATTTTCTGTTCATATGTTCTCATTAATCAGCAGGCAATAATCAGAGAAAGTGATTCTATTATCAACCTTTAACCGAAGCATCCTATTTAAGAATATGCAGAAAATGCCTGACCCGGAGTTTGCAGACTCACAGTGAGGAAGAAAGTGTCCTTCCCTGCAGGCCCGAGAGCCTTCCTGCTTTCCAGGGAACAACATGGCAGGGAGGGTCCCGGCAGCTGCTCGCGGGCAGGAACCAGTGGGCGCAGCGGCGGGCTGACCCTCCTCCGGCGGCGGGGACCTTCTGCTTCCTGGTATCTTTCTCCTCCACCCCATCTGCTGCTTGGGGAGCAGCGGCTGCCCTGGGCCTGTAGGTCGCTCCATCGCCTCCACCCGACGCGGGAAGGGAGAGGCTGTGGCTGCCGGAGCAGGGTGGGTGGCCTGAGACGAGACCCTGGCTGGCCCCCACGGGGAATATGGCGACCTGGGCAGCAGAGGCCTTGGCGGCTGCACCGCTAACTTCCCCGAGGAGCAAAGGCGCCTCTCGAGAAAATGCAGCCAAGTGGAACCCCGGCCCCGCCGCCCCAGGAAGGGGCAGCAGCAATGCAGCCAGGAAGCCCCGGGCAGAGCGCTGTGCACCAACAAGCTCCACAGCAACCTCCAGGCGGCGCCCACACCAGCCTCCAGGGGGCGCCGTACCAACCTCCAGGTGGCACTCACACTAACCTACAGGGCTGCACCTGCCGGCACCACAGTGGGGCGGGAACTCTGCTGTCACCAGCCACACTGACCGGGGTGGCCCAGGCCCACAGCAGCCAGAGGACAAGCCCACGCCCACTGCTCCTGGGTAATGAGGAGGCGCAGGATGACACCCTAGAGAGAAGTGCAAGAGCTCAGAGCTCGGGCCCCATGCCAGGAAAGGCCAGGAGCAGAAGATGGAGAGATGGAGAAGCAGCAATGGGAAAGGAGAGGCGCTCCACCGGCAGGGTCAGCATCCGCTGGCGGGGTTAGAGCATGAAGAGGACGAAGTTGCAGAGAGTGGAAACGAGAAGGTGCAATGACACAGCCGAGCACAATGCAGAATCCAGGCCCAGGACTCCAGTAAAGCCTGGCTTTAATTCCAGCTCACACCCCTTCCCCTAATCACAGAGGATCAGGGGAGAGGGGGAACCCAAGGAACACTGGAACCTGAAGGGCAGGAATCTGAGGCCAGGACTGATTGTGGGAAATGGTGGGAATCAGGAAAGGAGAAAGTGAGGCAGAATGGGGGGCAGTGAGCTGGGTTAGGAAGGATTAGAAATCAGAACCTTAGGAAGCATCCAGAAAGAAACTGTTCTTAAGAAGGTGCATGCTGCAGCCGGGCATGGTGGCTCACACCTGTAATCCCAGCACTTTGGGATGCCAAGGTGGGCAGATCACCTGAGGGCAGGAGTAGGAGAACAGCCTGGCCAACATGGAGAATCCTTGTCTCTACTAAAAATACAAAAATTAGTCTGGCATGGTGGTGTGACCCACTAATCCCAGCTATTCGGGAGGCAGAAGCGAGAGAATTGCTTGAATCCGGGAGGCGGAGGTTGCAGTGAGCCGAGATCGCACCACTGCACTCTAGCCTGGGCAACAAGAGGGAAACTTGATCTCAGAAAAAAGTATTAATGAATTAATGAGGAAATGTCTTGGAAACCGTTGTTCTTACTGTTTCAGGGGTTTTGTTGTTTGTTATTGTTGCTTTATCTAGGCGCATATATTTTTTTCTTTTATGACAGAGTCTTGCTCTGTCACCCAGGCTGCAGTGCAGCAGTGTGATCTCGGCTCACTGCAACCTCCACCTCCTGGGTTCAAGCAGTTCTCCTGCCTCAGCCTCCCAAGTAGCTGGGATTACAGGGTCAGGCCATGATGCCCAGTTTTTTTTTTTTTTTAAATGGAGTCTCACTCTGTTGCCCAGGTGAGTGAGCTGAGATCACTTGTATTACCTGAGAGTTAAAATCAGAAAAATCAGATTCTACAAAGAACTTGAAAGATGTTCTTTCAGGCTGGGTGTGGTGGCTTTTTCAGATGCCCCTTCTGCAAGAAAGGCTTTTGACAACTGGGTAAGTTTTGTTTGTTTGTTTGTTTTCCTTGCTTTTGGGCATAGTCAGCCAGGTCAGGACATGGATGTATTTTTCTCCCCACAGCTCTGTGCTCACACCTTGGATAGGGAGATAGCGGAGAGGAAGGCTGCCTACAAGCAGCACAGGTAGGTCATTGTGATGGATTTTTTTTCTTTTTGAGCCAGAGTCTCCCTCTGTCACTCAGGCTGGAGTGCAGTGGTGCAATCTCAGCTCACTGCAACCTCCAACTCCCGGATTCAAGCAATTCTCTGCCTCAGGCTCCTGAGTAGCTGGAATTAAATGCATGTGCCACTATGCCTGACTAATTCTGTATTTTTAGTAGAGACAGAGTTTCTCCATGTTGGTCAGGCTGGTCTTGAACTCCTGACCTCAGGTGATCCACCCACCTCAACCTCCCAAAGTGCTGGGATTGCAGTCGTGAGCCACCACGCCCAGTTGTGATGGTCATTTTTAAGGATGTTTTTGTTTTAAGATGAAGCTTTGAATGTCTAGTAAAGAACGTGGTGTTTTAATTCTTCTTCAAGTCAATTCTTTCTCTGTCTTCTAGATGCGAAATGAGGAAAAAGAAGAGAGTGCCAGAGAGACACACGTGTGAGGAGCCAGCCCAGAAACACCTGGGCCTGGAGAACCCTTTCTGGAGAGGCAGGAGCTCCAGTGAAGGCAGCTGCTTAAATTCTGCTGCACACTCCACACACTCCTTTGTGGGGCTCGGGCTCGGGTGGGGTAATTGTCTTGTTTCCTGGAAACAGTTCTGAGCACTTAAGAAGAGAACAGTTGTGCTGTTGGGTGGCAGGACCCCATTTTTCTCAGTTGCCCTAGCTGAATGACTCTTGGCTGGTCCCCTGTGAATGGTGGAGCTCAGGCCCCTCCACTAACTGTGGATATTGCCCCACTCTGACGTCTTGGTTACTTTTAACTGCGAAGATGAGCCTGCAAGGCAAATGGGCCAGCTCCCCTTCCCACCTTGAGTCAGCGTGAAGGCTTTGTTTTTCTTTCATTTGAGCAAAGTAACAACAGCATTGTAGAATGGGAGCCGAAAGTGCTGATGAAAGCAGAGATTTTCAGGCAATGTCTTCATGGATCAATAAAGCAGCACCATGAGATCTGCTTTAAGAAAAGAAGCATTTATTTGCACTTTTTGGAACTTCCTTTATCCTTTTTTGCTTGTTTAAATTGTTTATTGTGAACTATGTAACTCCTTTAGTAAGCTCAATTTCTATGTAATCTTACTCCTCTAACATTTGAAGTGTGACCCTAAAACTTTCCAGTTAATCTTTTTCTTTCTTTCTTTTCTTTCTTTCTCATTCTTTCTTCTTTCTTCCTTTCCCTTCCTTTCTTTCCTTTCCTTTTCCTTTTCTTTTTGAAAAACTTGCTCTGTCACCCAGGCTGAAGTGCAGTGGCATGATTTGTGCTCACTGCAACCTCCACCTCCCTCAGGCAATTCTCCTGCCTCCACTTCCCAAGTAGCTGGAACTACATGCGCCGGCCACCATGCCTGGCAAGGTTTTTCTTTTTGTATTTTTCAGCAGCGACAGAGTTTAACCATGTTGGCCAGGCTTGTCTCTAACTCTTGACCTCAAGTGATCTGCTCGCTTCAGCCTTCCAAAGTGCTGGGATTACAAGTGTGAGCCAGCATACCTGGCCTCCATTTGATTTCTGTAGCTCTTACCCTTTCTCATGACTGTTAGTCTCTTTATGTTCATTTCCGTTCATAAATATTGACAGTGCCTGGGGAGATATGGAGATTAGATTCACTGTGAATCCACAGAATTTTAAATGTCCCTATAGCTTGAAGAAAAGGAGCAGTACTGCTCCTGTCCTGGGCCTGTAGATGTTCTTCCCATTCATGGCTGTTTCTATTTTAATTTTGAGTCTGTACTCACATAATGGGTGATTTCCTTTGATATATACTGGGAACCCCTGATTTAAAGCTCATTTCCAGCTGGTTAGCGCCCGACCCGTCCACAGTAGAGAGTTAAGAAAACCCTGGTCCAGGGCTCTGCGGTGTCTTCTTCAAAGGCTGAGGCCCAGAGGACTCCAGGGTCCTCTGAGTCATCTGGTCAATAAACCCTGTGCCTCTGGTAAGGGACCTGAATGTGGCAAAGAGAGTGAGATGGCAGTGGAGGGCATGGAGGGTTTCGTATTCTGCACAGATCATGCAAGCCAGATTGAGCCCCATTCCTTTCTCTGGCTCTTAGCAGATTCAGGACCTCATTTGGTTCCTGTGAGGAACAGCAGCTGTGTCCCAACTGAAAACACAGAGAAGACAAAGGTGAATGCTGGGGTCATTTTCACTCTGCCTGTATCAGGACACTGTAGTCTTTTCCTCCATCGCCCTCTCCTGGTCTGGCCTCTCCTCTGTGGATTCTGTGATACCTTTTCTGTCGGGACTTTTTCAGAAGCAAAATCTTCCCCATAAGCTTTCTGGCTTCTCCATTCCCAGCTAGTCATCTTGAGTGGCACCTCCAGAAGCCATAAATGCTTAGGAACTGAGGGCTGAAGAGCTTTTACTGTTCTGTTTCCAGAAATAACATGAGGAATGCCCCTGACCTCCACTGCTGTAGGTTTCATGGCCCAGTGAACCCTGACTGATCTCTTTTACACAAGATGTGGTGTCTATATCTGAAATATGTGGGGTTTTCTTTTATTTTGCTGTGATTTTGTTTGTTTCCTTCTATAAAGTAGGTGATTAACCTTTGAAATATCTGCTGTATTCCCAGAAGTGACAAAAGCGAAAACTCATTAATCCAACATAAGTATGTGCTTTGTGCAATTTTGAATGCTCTTCAAAAAGGTCAATTCCATAGTTCATCACAGTCCCATTCCTGTTGGTAACTGTGTTGTGCAAAAACGCCTTCACCCCCCTTTGGTGGAGCCCCTGATCTAATATTCTAAGTGTGAGAGTTTCTGTATTTGTAATAGAAAATATGCCTCGACTGAAAGTGAATGTAACCTATTACCCACAGCGACAATTCCCATCGAAGGCCTTAAATGATGCTCAGCTATGCTGATTCTCGTGTGGCCTCTGTACCTTCAACAGCTGCCAAGTCCTATGATTACATATGATGGGAATTGTACACTTGAAATCAAACATATTTATAAAGCTTTCTTTTTTCAGAATTCCCACCTCATTTTTCTACGGACAAAGTATTATTTATGTCATAATGCACTTAAAATTTGTATTACCTGGGAGTTAGAAGAGATATTCTATCCATGCCTAACTGACTTCTTATGTCAGATTGTTCTGCCAGCCTCTCCCAGGACCCCTGCATGTCTTCAGGAATCCACATTTCCCCAAAGCCATTTGTGCTCACGGGTGGCACCCCCAGAGTGAAGAAGACTCTTTGTCAAGAAGGGCAGCAGAGGGGAAATGAGAAGATCCTGCAGGCAGAGCTGGAATCAACTCCCACTCTGCCTCCTGCAAGCTGTGTGACCCCGGGCCCATGCTCTCCTTCTTCGGGGAGCCTCTGTTTTCTTAGATTTGGAGCAGGATGATCACACTGACTTGCAGACTTCTGAGAATCAGAGACAGAACATAAAAGGCCTGGAGAACATGCTCCAAAAAGAAGCTGCGACACGTGTTGATAATGGGCTCTCATGCCTCTCTCTTACTCACTGTTTATCTGAGGCAAGGAGCATGCTCTGGAGATGGCCATGAGGGAGGAATGAGGATAGTCATAGACACTCCTGTGTCTGAAACATGCTTCTTCCTTACTGCGTTCTCACTCTCTCCCCCATGGGGCAGGCCCCTAGCCTGCCTACATTGGCAGACAGGCAGACACAGTGGCATGTGGAGAAAAGAGTTTGTCCCAAAGACTTTTCTTCACTCCCCAGCTGTCGGCAGTACTTAATGGAAGGGTGACTTCATGCCACTGATGCTGCTATTCTGAAACCTGGAAGGATGGAAAGGTGCAAAAACCTATCAGCAGCAACATAAGGTGCAGCCTGTGTTGGTGGTGGTGGTTCTGTCCATCACATTAATATATTTCAAAACATTTCCTCCTTCTGCCTGCAGGTTAACATGGCTGCAGCACAGCATTATCATGGCTCAGGATTGCCCTACTCGCCCTACCTCATAGCAGACCCTTCAAGACCACTGATGGGTTGCTGGCCACCTCCTCCAGCTGGCTGTCGCCTTGGAGCTCAACCATTCCCATCAGCTAAAGGTGTTCTGGGACCTCTGACAGCTCCTCGACTCCAGTGTCCACTAGGACCTCAGCCACCTTCTCCAGCTGATAATTTTTGGGGACCACAGACACCTACACACGGATGTCTTCTGGCACCTCTACTACCTTCCATAGCTGATGATTTTCTGAGCCCATGCACAATGCCACTCGAGTGTCTTCTGGTGCCTCTAGCACCTTCTCCAGATGACGAGCTTTCAAAACCACAGACACCTATACATGAGTGTCTTCTGTTACCTCTGCCACCTTTAGCCAGTGATTTTCTGAGTCCATACAAACTCCACCAGAGTGTCTTCTGGCACCTCTACCATCTCCTCCAGATGATGATCTTTGGCAGGTGTCCCCAAACTACGGCCCGTGAGCCGCATGTGGCTCTCTGAGGCCATTTATCCGGCCCCCCGCCACACTTCAGGAAGGCGCACCTCTTTCATTGGTGGTCAGTGAGAGGAGCACAGTATGTGGCGGCCCTCCAACGGTCTGAGGGACAGCGAACTGGCCCCCTGTGTAAAAAGTTTGGGGACGCCTGATCTTTGGAGACCACAGACACCACCTCTCGAGTGTCTTCTGGGACCTATACCGTCATCTCCAGCTAATGATTTTCTGAGGCCACACACACCTTCTATCCAATGTCCTCTGGGATCTCAACCACTTTGTCCCAATGACAATTTTTTGAGATTACAGGTAGCTCCACCTTTTGAGTGTCCCCTGGGACCTCAACTACCTATTTCAATAGAGTGTCTTCTGGTATCTCTTCACCTTCTTGATTTTGTGAGACCACAGACACCTGCACCTGAGTGTACTCTAGTACCTCTACCACCATCTTCAGCTGAAGATTTTCTCTAAGACCCAACACACCTCAACCTGAGTGTCCTCTGGTATCTCTACCACTGTCTCCAGCTGAAAATGTTCTAAGACCTCACACACCTCCACTTGAGTGTTCTCTGATATCTCTACCACCACCTCCAGCTGATGATTTTTTAAGACCACAAACATCTCCATCTGAGTGTGTTCTGGTACCTCTACCACCTCCAGCTGAAGATTGTCTGAGACCACACACACCTTCACCCGAGTGTAATCTGTTAGCTGCAGCACCTTCTTCACCTAATGATTTTCTGAGACCACAGGCAACTCCACCACTTGAGTGTTTTCTGGGACCTCAACCTCCTATTTCACTCCCGTGTCCTCTGGGACTTCAACAACCTACTTCACTTGAGTGTCCTGTGCCACCTCAACCATCTTCTCCAAGTGAAGATTCTCTGAGACCACAGTCACCTCCTCCAGTTAAGTGCTTTCTGGCATCTCCATCATCTTCTTCAGCTAGTGATCTGAAACTGCGGACACCTCCAGCAATTGAGTGTCCTCTAGGACCTCCTTCATGTCTTCCAGCTGTTTGTTTTGTAGGACCTCCACCACCTCCTCCAGCTGCATCTCCTATGGGACTTTATCCACCTCATCCTGCTATCTGTCCTGGGGGACCCCATCCACCTCATCCACCTGTCTGTCCTGGGGCACTTCATTCACCTCATCCAGGTGTCTGTCCTGGAACACTCCATCCTCCTCATCCACCTGTCTGTCCTGGGGGAACTAATCTTCTTTCTCCAGGAGGGTGGCCTCTGGGACCTTAGCCTACTTCTCCACTTAGTGGCCTCTGGAACTTCGGCCACCTTCTCTACCTTGGTAGCCTCTGGCCCCTTAGCTACCACCTTCACATAAGTGGTCTCTGGAACCTCAGCTACATTCTTACTTTGGTGGCCTCCCTTCACTATCACCTACACATGCGTCTCCTCTAGTACCTAAATAATCTACTCATGACCTCTCAGCCCTCAGCCACTTCCTTCACCTAGGTCTTCTCTAGCACTTCAGCCAACTCCTTCACTTGGCTGACCTGCCATCTCAACTGACACTCAACCTTCACCTGAGTGTCCTCTCAGACTTCAGCCCCCTCCTCTAGTCACATGACCTCTGAGACTTCGACCAACACCTCTAAATGTACCACTTGATGTGTTGATTTGAACAGTATAAAGTAATTTGTAAAAAAAAAAAATTCATCTTTTCTTAAGTGAATAGAAAGAAATGTCACAGACGGTACTGCAGGGCTTTGCAGTACAAGGATAACACTGGCTGAGATCCTGGTCACTTTTCTCAAGTTTCTGAGAGTACTCAGTCGGTTGCATTGTTTCCTCATCATGAGTTTGGCAGCAGATATCTCTTGTAGATAAAGACAGATTTTTTATTTTTTGTGGGGATGGAGTCTCATTGTGTCACCCAGGCTGGAGTGCAGTGGTGCAATCCTGGCTCAGTGCAACCTCTTTCTCCAGGGTTCAGGTGATCCTCCCACCTTAGCCTCTAGAGGAGCAGCTGGGACTACAGTCACACACCACCATGTTTGGCTTTTTTATTTTTCTTTTCTTTTTTTTTTTTTTTTTTTGAGATAGAGTCTCACTTTGTCACCAGACTGCAGGGCAGTGGCACCATCTCTGCTCACTGCAACCTCTGCCTCTTAGGTTCACATGATTCTCCTGCCTGGCCACCCAAGTAGCTGGGACTACAGGCACATGTCACCATGCCCAACTAATTGTTTGTACTTTTAGTAGAGACAGGGTTTCACTACGTTGGCCAGGACAGTCTTGATCTATCGATTTCATGATCTGCCCACCTTGGCCTCCCAAAGTGCTGGGATTTTTTTTTTTTTTTTTTTTTTTTTTAGATGAAATCTCACTTTGTCACCCAGGCTGGAGTGCTGTGTGTGATCTCAGATCTTGGCTCACTGCAACCTCCGCCTCCCAGGTTCAAGTGATTCTTCTGCCTCAGCCTCCTGAGTAGCTGAGACTACAGGTGCATATCACCACACCTGGCTAACTTTTGTATTTTTAGTAGAGACGAGATTTCACCATATTAGCCAGGCTGGTCTCAAACTCCTGACCTCAGGTGATCCATCCACTTCAGCCTCCCAAAGTGCTGGGATAACAGGTATGAGCCACCATGCCCATCTCTCTCTCTCTCTCTCTCTCTTTCTCTCTCTCTCTCTCTCTCTCTTATTTAACTTTTTGTAGAGACCGTGTTTCACCATGTTGCCCATGCTGGTCTCAAACTCCTGGACTCATGCCATCTGCCAACTTAGGCCTTCCAAAGTGCTAAGATTACAGGCATGAGCCACCAGCAGCCAGAGATTGTTTATAGAAGCCAGAAATACCAGTTTTGCAGGTGTGCATAGAAGCTGGGCCATATGGCCATCTCCAGAGGGATGGGACCCATCCCTGACTTGCA